AAGTGGAAAAAAAATGTTTGTGTGTTCTGCAAATGAAAGAGCGAACGCTTAAATGATTCGGGGGGAGGGGGGGGGATGAGCTCCCAGCGCAATGAGAAGCGGTGCCGAACGAGCTCCGGTTGAACAACGGAAAAAACCAAACGCTGGAAGCAACAGCTGAGAGGTGTGGACATGGCAATTGGGCCGTGGGGGGAAAAGGGGGTTTGGGGAAGCAGGGAGGGACCTCTAAGAGCCGTGGGATGAGGGGCTGGAGGCGAGAGAGCACCGCTCCCTGGGCTGGCTGTTGAGCGACCGCAATCAGACGGCACACGGAAGAGCCCTGTTGTGCTGGGGGGACCCTGGGATCGAAATGCAACAGCCCACTCGCCGGTCTGGAGCCCCCCCCAGCCCCCACTGTGAAACCTTGCCCGTTTTCCCGACACTCCCTGTCCTCCCTGCGCACCAGCCTGCTTGGGCTGGAATTCACCCCCTGACCGATCCGTTTATTTTTAACCCTGTTTCTCAGCATCTTTCGAACTGCCCCTTCCCGGCACACTCCCCTCAGGCGATCCCTGAAGGGCCGTACAGCCGCAGCAGGCGCCGGGAGACACTCCGTTATCTGGGCCAGGCTGCACAGAGCTCTCCCCTCAAGGCCTGGGGGGAGCGGAGCAGCGTGCGCGGCCGCTGACAGCCCCTTCCTCCTCCCAGGCACCACGCAGTCCTCCAGACTCAATTCCTTTGAATTCTGTGCCACGGAAGCCAATCCAAGAGGCAAAATCAATCCCAGCAGCTGTCAGACTTGCCTTGCGCACTGTCACCATCTGTTTGCCAGAGTCAGACCCGCACAAAGCACATCTGTGCACACATTCCGGGCTCTCCTACACCTGCCAATTCCTCTCAGCGTGTACACCCGGATCAGGCTGCTCACGCCAGGTTTGTACCACAGGAAACCTCAAAACCCAGGACCCGGCTCATGAAACAAGGCTGAAGCAGCAGTGCCTCCAGGACCCTGCCACGTCCCTCTCTATTTCCAGCTTGTACAGGCGAGGAGTTCCGAAACTGCGTTTCCAGAACTGCAGTTGATAAGTGGCCCCAAGGCAGGGCCTTCCCCAGCACGGTCTCCAGCCCCCCGCCCCCCCGGCAGAAAAAGAGGGATTTTGAACTCACTCTGCAGCAGAGACAAAGCAATTTAGACGCCCGTCGTTCTCGTCCAGGACTTCCCTGGTGCGAGCCTCGCCGGTGGACTGCAGGCCGATGACGATGCACTGCAGGGAAACACAAGGGAGGGCACGGCAGAGCGTCAGGAGCGGCGTCCGCACACGCAGCTCCGGGCTCACAGGTTGTATCGCAGTCCCAGGAACGTTGCCCTCGGACCCTGCCCCAAATAGGTGTCGGGCCTGTAGCAGAGCTCCTGGTCCAGAACCATCGCAAGGCATCCAAAAATGTACATCTGCTCATGCCATAGGGAGGATGACTCGGATTACAGAAGATAGCTGACTCTGTCAGATAGTTTTGTCTCCAGTTCTGGGGCCCCAACAGCAGGAGGACACGGAGCTGTTGGAGTGAGTCCAGAGGAGGCCACGGGGATGCTCCGAGGGCTGGAGCCCCTCTGCCCTGGGGACAGGCTGGGGGAGTTGGGGGGTTCAGCCTGGAGAAGAGAAGCTCCGGGGAGACCTCAGAGCCCCTTCCAGTGCCTGGGGGGTACAAGAGAGCTGGGGGGGCTTTTCCCAAGGGCAGGGAGTGACAGGGCAAGGGGTGACGGGTTTAAATGGAAAGAGGGAGATGGAGATGGAACATCAGGAAGGAATTCTTCCCGCAGAGGGTGGGAGCACTGGGACAGGTTCCCAGAGAAGCTGTGGATGCCCCATCCCTGAGAGTGTCCAAGGCCAGGCTGGATGAGGCTTGGAGCAACCTGCTCTATGGAAGGTGTCCCTGCCCGTGGCAGGGGGGGGCACTGGGGGGGCTTTAAGATCCATTCCCACCCCAACCATTCCATGATTCTATGATTCTTGCCTAGAACTTCCGAATCGTATCCATGCGGATAAAGGACAGGACTGTGCTCAAGGAGAAGCATCTGGCACCTCTTCTTCTGTGAACATGACCCAAAATACTGTTTCAAATGAGCTTGTCCACATCTACCCTAAATGAGCGGTGGGTAATGCCTCAGAAGACGAGACCATGTTAACCCCCCGATATAATTTACCCTGAACAGCCTCAGAAACCCAGACAGCGCCCTTTATTCTGGCTCATCTGGAGAGAAATCCACCCATAAAGAGGTTTGAAATGGCCTTCAAGTCAAGCTGAATGACAATCAACTCCCTCTGGTTGCAGACTACAAAGAAATCGCTTGCAAGCCCGACGCTGCAGCGAGGCTCCGGTACCGCACCTTGTCCTTGGCCAGCTCTTCCTTGGCAAGCTCGACGAGGCGCCGGACTTTAGCAGCAATGCAGAGATACTTGAAGAAGCGCTGGTGAGCTGACCAGAACTGACCCCACAAGGATTTCCGAGACTCCAAGCCGATCCAGTCGGCCGCCTGCTGGAACACCATCAAGGCCTCTGCCCACTGCGGACAATACCGGGAAAGGCCGAGTTAGTATCTTCGGTTTCTCTGTCCTGCCTGCTGTGCAGGGTTGTTAGAACAGTCTGTGGTTCGATAATGTGATTTAGCATCAGTATTTAAGTCTCTGTGTTAGGTTGAAGGAACAGCCAGGTCATTCCCTCCTTTCTGTGCCAGCGTGACGTTGCAAAAATATGGAACTTTTACACAGAAGTATAAAACCAGATAATTCTGGCTGTAAGCTGAGCGTGTGCACCCGTCCCCCTTCTCGTAAACAAAGCCTGTGGTGACGGCCACGTCCAGGGTGCTCAAACCCTCCCACCTAACGAGCGGCAGTGCCCAAAGCGCCACGAAACACCAGTCTCCCCGCTGCAGTGGGACCAGCTCACCAGCTTCGCTGCCTTGTCGTAGACAACCTTGTACTGCTGATCCAGCGGGATCTCCTCGATCCGGAAGGTCACCCCAGTGAAACTCAGCTGCCTGGCAATGTACATTCCACTGACCTTCATGTCCATTGCCACGATCTCCATTGCACCGACTCCCCTGGGAGAGGAGAAGAGCTGTGAAACCTCTTCCTCTGGTGCAGGCAGCACCGGGTGGGTGCTTCTGCTGAGCCACCACCTCCCCTGGCTCACCCTGTCCGCCGGCACTTCATCCCTTTCCCAAACAAAGCCTGCCACAGAACGTAAGCCACATGGAAAAGGGATGCTGGACACGACTCACCTCTTTTCAATGGCATGCAGGAACTCATCGAACGCTCTGAAGGGGGTGCCCTCCCCCCAGATCCCCAGGCGGCTCATGTAAATCATGTTTTTTGGCTCAGAGGCACCTGTTTGAACAGAATTCCCTGTTAGCAAACCCATCGAAGTCGTGGATAGTTTTGACTCACGCCCAGCGAGCTCTGAAGAGGATGGTCTTTCCCATCCTGCCTCAGGAGACCCGAGGACCTTTCCAAACATTGCTAAGTTGGGGAGTGTCCCCATCCAGCTGAGCAGGAACAAGTTAAACTGGAGGGAAAGGAGTCTCACATGCCAAAAAGCCCCGAGTAACGGGCAGCGCTGGGGCTCGGGGCAGGTCTTTGCACCCTGGGCACTGCAGTACCCGGTGAACGTGCTTCCAACCCAAGGGCATCCCTGGAAGGCAACTGCCCCGTCACCCTTCGTGCCCGCACGCCCTGAGAGCAGCTCACCTGTGGCACTGGCGTAAACCACCCTTGCTCGCGGCAGTTTGTTCTGAAGGTCCAGCACTGCTTTGCCCATTTTAGTGGAGCTGGCGTTTTTGGCTTTGTGGCATTCGTCGAACACAATCTGGAAGGGAACGTCCGTTAAGGAGAAAAAGATCCATTTTCATCACGAAGATGGAAGCAGACAGAAAACACAACCCAGCCTCCTGCAGCCAGCTGAACCACCAGTCCCAACAGCAACAGGACCAACTCGTTCCTCGCACTGCAGGAAATCTCTGGGGTTTGCCTTGTCCTCCGCTCCCCAGAGCCCAAAGTCATTCCCCCGCCCCCTCCCTTCACTTCCAAGCTGTGTCTTGTCTTGCAATGCTGAAAAGGTTAATCCCGGCTGCATTCCTCCTCTCTTCCCATCCCCACTGCGGCCTGCGGAGGAGGAGAGGAGCGTGGGGGATGCAAACGCTCGCAGCTTTTCAGTATCTAGCAGAGGCAGCAGGCTGCTCAGCACAGCTGCTCCTTAGACGGCCCCAAGCACTTTGTTCCTCGGCGAAGTACAGTCACAAACACGCAATCCTTTTCCCTCTCCGTTGGTGGGGTTTTTCTGAAAGGATACAACTCCATCAAAGTTTTCCTTGCACCAGTCCAAAATCTGTTTTAAGCGTGTCCTGTGCTGTCCACCTGCCTGGCTTTCACCTATCAGCGCAGAGTAAGTGGCGAAGAGGACTCCTTCTGAGGTAGCTGTGTCACCGTATTTAATCTGCAGAAAGAGGAAGAAGAATCAGAATCACGGAACGGTTTGGGTGGGAAGGGACCTTAAAGCCCACCCAGCCCCACTCCCTGCCACGGGCAGGGACACCTTCCATAACCCAGGGTGCTCCAAGCCTCATCCAGCCTGGCCTTGGGCACTCCCAGGGATGGGGCATCCACAGCTTCTCTGGGAACCTGTCCCAGTGCCTCCCCACCCTCTGCGGGAAAATTCCTTCCTGATATCCCATCTCCATCTCCCTCTTTCTGTTTAAACCCATCACCCCTTGTCCTGTCACTCCCTGCCCTTGGGAAAAGCCCCCCCCCAGCTTCCTTGTACTCCCCAGGCACTGGAAGGGGCTCAGAGGTCTCCCCGGAGCTTCCCTTCTCCAGGCTGAACCCCACAACTCCCCCAGCCTGTCCCCAGGGCAGAGGGGCTCCAGCCCTCGGAGCATCCCCGTGGCCTCCTCTGGACTCACTCCAACAGCTCCGTGTCCTTCTGCTGCTGAGGACAGGGGAGGCACACACGCACTCATCATCCTCGTGCCCGAGCGTGGTGCCCAGCCTTTGCCCGTGATCAGTGCCGCTGACTGCGTGCCACTGTGCAGGACACGTTCCTGCCTCCAAGAACAAAACCCAGGCTGAGAGCGGGACAGACAAAGACTGTTGGTAGCTGACGTCTTTAGCACTTCGATTTGGCACTGTGACACATGATGACAGGGACTTTAAAGGTCTGGCTAAGTTCCACCAGCCAATGTGTCAGCACATCTGGATACACGCAGTGAAATGTGGACACCACGCTAGGATTTGGGTTTTCTGGCCAACCGAAGTTGCTTCATTTGTTTTGAGCAACAGTTTCGAGTATTTAGTTGTTTTCAACCCTCTCATTTGTTTTAATTTCTTCTAGAAAAGAATTTTCTCTGGGACTAGCTGAGATTGTTGCCTTTCTTACTGTCACGGATCCCTGCTGTCATGAAATAAAAGGTAGAGGGGAAAAACCCTTCCCCTGCCTTCGTACGGCCAGTTGTGTGACAGCTTTAAAAACCAGAGGAGAGCGTCTCCGTGAACTGGCCTGGACAAAGCTGATGCGCCAGGCAAGGGACTGGGGCGCAGGCCACGGAGAACCCTGTGGATAACCACTACGCTGGTGGTTCCTTTGGAGAAATACTTCCTCCTTGTTGCTGAGTAACCGGAAAAAAGGCTGAACGTTCTCCGGTTCGCTCAGCCGGGGGACACGCCACGCGCTCAGCCCCGGCACCGCACGCAGGCAGCCCCCTGCCAGGCACCAGCCTCTGCAGCCCCACGTGCTGCCTCCCTCACGCGCTCTGAAAAGCGATTCCATGAAACCAGCGCTGGGAAACGTCAGCCCAGGAGTGCAGAGCACGGCCACCTCCGTCTGGAGCTGTTCCCTCTGCGGGACTCCTCGGGAATGGCAAGGGTTCAAGTCCTGCTGTACTTTGCACTTGGCTGGAGACAATTCCCACTCCCTGCACGAAAGAGCTCTGTGCTCTGCAGAGCAAGAGTCCGGAGTGGGAAGAGCACGCTGGGAGAAGGGAACAGGAAGCAGCTTGCTGGCTGCTACCGCCTGGGCCACCAGCCACACCACACCGAGGCAGGAGTGGCTGCTGCGTTACATCCTACGGCGGATCCATCCAACGGCGACCGTAGGCTGATTTTCCAGAGCACCCTCACCTTATTCAAAGCATGCACAGGAATGTGGGAGGCTTCAATGTCCTTCAGGTCTCTCTCGGCATCATACTTGAGATCGTTGGAGACGCTGAACCTGCAAAGCAAGCCGTGGGCCCGGTTATCCCCAGAGGAGATCGTGAGGGCACGCGCAGTGATTAACAGCTCTGACTAAAGCAACAGGAGGCGTGCACAACCGACACCGTTCCGAGTGCCCACACACCTCCAGGCAGGATCCCACCGCAGACTCCAGCCCGCCACCGCCGTCAGGCTGCGTGTGCTCCCCAGTGCAAGCCCACACCGTCGGGGCTTGAGTCTGCACCACCAATGCCCCTCCGCCGGCTCCAAGGGGAGCGGGAGAGGGTGGACACTGCGCTCCAATCGCACAGAATCTGCTGTTTCACAGTGACTCACTCTCCATCGCCGCTGCAGGGAAATATTCCCACTTCACAGGCAGCAAACAGGCAGAAAGAGGTGGAAACGACTTACCCAAGGCCACAGCATGAGTCAACTAGAAAGCCAACATCAGCACTAAGGAATTCCTTACTCCCAGATCCAAACTTACTCCAAGGTCTTACGGGAAAAGAGAAAGGAAAAAAAAAAGCAAAAAACCAACCCAACTTACCACAGAGCTTTTTTCCTCCCTTTAAGATAATTTTCAAAGATGATGCCCGCAACTGTCCTGCCCTTTCCAACTCCGGCACCGTCCCCAATGAGGAACCCAGCTCGCTGCCCGTTGGGTAATAAAACTTCATGTTGCTGCAAAATCAAGAACAGAACTGGCAATTAAACCGGATTTGCTTTTGCTAACAGCTTTCATGTGAGCCTGTCGGGGCACCGCTTAACCCTTTCACGGACTCCAATGCTGCAAGGGCATTTGCTGCTCAGGTAGGAAATGCCAAGTGTCATGGCCAAGCCCACAAGTGGCAAGTTGACAGAAAAGGTGCCCAGGTCCCCAAAATGTAAAGCACTCCCCTCTGCAATAAAATTTCTTGCCTCTTTGGTAAAGAGACACCACAGGTTTTCCCCGGCTCCAAATAATCCTTCCAAAAGGCATTCAAAACGCCCCGTGCCCACGCTTCCGAAGTTTCTCTGCCTGTGTTACAGGTTATTTTAAGACACCCTTGACTGCCTGTCCATGCAAAAGGCAGTTTCTTCCCAGAGTAAGTCGTGCAAGCCGGGTGAGGCGGAGCACGTACCTGGCAGGCATAAATGATTGCTTCGAGCTGTAGTGCAGAGAGCGAGCCTTTGTCGGCCACGGAGCGCGGCAGGGAAAGGCTGTAGGTGATGTCGGGGGGAGGGACGCTGGACAGAGTGCTCGTTTCAACCACGAGGTCAGGGTGGTGCTTCCCAATCTTGGCTGAAGGACAACACAGAAAACCAGGGTCAGTCAGGTTCGTCACGCCCACGGGGCACCTCAAGAAGGGCTGCAGAGCTCAGATCAAGAGGGAGCAGAAGAGACAAGCCCATCCCTTGCTCTTCACTCTACTGGTCTGTTGAAATTCCAGACTGCCCCCCGAAAGCAAGCAACAGAAAGGCATTCTGTTAAATTAGCGTAGCACCACCAAGGGATCAGGACTCTGTTTTTCTAGAAAATCACAAGCTTGGGATGCGCCACGGCAAACACCGTATACTGCTCGCAGGAAAATAAGGGAGTGGTTAATTAGGTTGGCCCACAGTGGGTTTAACGGACTTCCCGCGCTCACGCAATGACGAGACACTCACACTTTGAGGGTATATATTCTGCGTAGGTCTCCGTTTGCCCCAACTCTTCTGTTTCTTCCTCCTCACCTTCATCCTCCTCCTCTGCAGGAGCCTGAGACTGAAGAGAAACACAGCACTGACCAAACAACATTCTCACGGAACTACGGTCACACAGCACCAGAAACTACCACCCAAACCACCCCTGTGCAGATTCACAAACCCTTCAGGTACAATTAAGCTCATTAACAGACTACAGCAGCACAAGGAAAACCATCTGCCAGAGCCCACCCGGGGCCCAGCAAGGGCTCGAACAGCCACTTCCGACGCCTGGTCCACACCACATTGGGGAAAAATGTTCCAGTCATGTTCCAGATGGGCTGTGGGCCTGCGGGCATCCTGCTTGTGCTCTGCCCCAACCCAGGGACAGGGTCCACTAGGCTGGCACTCAGCAAAGTCCTCTCGGGAAGAGCAACCTCTGTAGAGTGCTGGGTTACAATCATGGAATGGTTTGGGTTGGAAGGGACCTTAAAGCCCACCCAGCCCCACCCCCTGCTACGGGCAGGGACACCTTCCATAGACCAGGTTGCTCCAAGCCTCATCCAGCCTGGCCTTGGACACTCCCAGGGAGGGGGCATCCACAGCTTCTCTGGGAACCTGTCCCAGTGCTCCCACCCTCTGCGGGAAGAATTCCTTCCTGATGCCCCACCTCCATCTCCCTCTTTCTGTTCAAACCCGTCACCCCTTGTCCTGTCAGTCCCTGCCCTTGGGAAGTCAGCCTTAAAGTAAGCCCCAGTCGTTCTTAAACACAGCCAGCTTCCCCCAGGGAAACACAGGACACTCCTGGGAAAGGGCAGTGACTTGGATTCTCCCATTTTCTTCTCTCGCTCCCTCGGAAGGGAGAATGGTGGGCACTGCTCCCTCCACGCCGTGGCATTACCAAGCGAGGAGCCTGGTGCCTGCTCCTTCTGGAGCTGAGCCTCCTTCTCACCTGGTAGCTTATGAGGAGCGGGGTGTTGGGGACAGCAGGAACATGGTCATTGGAACTGTTCAAGCCAGTGAAGGATCTGCTGGGTGAGAACAGCTGGAAGAGAAAGGGTGTAGGTGAGAAAACACCTTAGCCCTCAGCCCTCCCTCCTCGACAAGCATGAGAATACAGCCACAGCAAAGATCCTCGTGTTGTGTACTCGGCACTTACACCCTGAAGTTGTCAGTGGACTTTAATACTTCGTGTTTGTGAAGGAAAAGCCCCGGGCAATAATTCTGGAAACGAATAAACCTTGGAAATGCCGTACATGCCTTCCTGACCAAGGTAAATACATTCTTGCAGGACGCGTGAACATTCTGCGTGTGGGCCCGTACGTGGTGAAAGCCCGGTGGGACGGGGGTGCCCGTCTGCCAAGCTACACGGCAGTAAGAGGGGTCACCCTGCAATGCCACGTCTTGCTGGGAGACTCCAGCACAACCCACCCTTCACACAGCTCCCGTCAGCACTACGAGAGGAGCCGCGCAGGCGCTGCCGCTGACAAAGGACCCTTAAAAGGCAGCAGGTCCCTGTCAAGACCCGACGGAAGTTTATTATGGGAATACTGGATCTGCTCCGCGCCGGAGCAGTTACGATGGTCGCTGGTTTCCTGTTTGCTCTGAAGGGAGCTCTGTACAGAACTGCCCTGCCATTCCTGACAAAACAGGAACTGCTACGGGAGCTGTGCGGGCATCGGGTGGTTTATTCGGGGTGGGTGAGTCCAGCTGAGAGCTCTGGGTTGGATCTGCTGATGGGGAGACACAGCCTCACGCTGGGGACCAGAAGAAGATGCTGGAGCAGAGCTGAGAAGGGGGAATGGGAAAGACCGAACAATATTGCAACCAGAAGCCATCGCTGGGAAGGACGGAGCATTAAATCCGAACACCGATACGCCGTGGCTTGCCAAGGGCCCTTGAGGCAAGGGTTTCCCAGTTCTGATTTGAAGATTCAAACCACTGGCCAAAGCAACTCGAGAACTGCCCCGACCACAGCCCCGGGCCACGGCTGTCCCGAGCTCAAGGGCGACGAGGCTCTGCTGAGCCCACCAGAGCCTGCAGCCTGCCAGCTCCCCCCGCAGAGACCTCCACGACAGAGACCAGCCCTGGGGCCTGGGAGCTCCAACGGCACGGAGACCCCCCCCCAGGGGCTCAGGCTGCCGTGTGGGCTGGCCGGGCCTCTCCGGGTGCCAACTGCTGTGTCAGTTAACGATGGCTTTGCACCATCCAGCCCGCTGCATCGCAGCCAGCCAGGAGAGCTCCCAAGACACTCCTAGCTGGGAAGGCACAGTCGAGGAGATCCTTTGTCTGCCCCCACACTGACAAAATCGCACTGGAATTTCCCGACAGCGAGCAAAGTCAAGCCAGCAGCTCACAGCACCCACAGCCATCCGCAACTCCAGAAGCAGCACTACTGCCAGACTTAGAGACCCATGATCCACCAGCACGAGTGGAAGATGGGAAGTTCTTAAGCATAAACACGCCGATTATTTCCTTTTTTTAAATTAAAAAACCTAAAAAAAAAAAAAAGAAGAAAGAAAAAAACACCCTCCATTACTGGAAGCCTGAGTCAGAATTACCAGAAGGAAGCTGGACGGAAGAGCTATTTTCAGTGCCAACAAATCTGGAGAGCAGGTGAAACATCTCCACCTACAAATCTGAGCTCAGGATAAAAGTTTCTTAGGCAAGAGAAGGGCCCAGATCTGCCAGACAGGCAGGACACGCTTCTCCCAGTTCTAGCAGTGGAGAGTGACTGCAGTCTGCTTTGGCAT